CCGCTTCGGCCGCGCGACGCTCGTCGAGTAAGGCTAGGAGGACGCGCGCTTCTTGCGCTTCGCCGGCGGCTCGTCGACGAGGTAGACGCGCTCGCCCGTGCTCTTGCGGACGCGCGCCGTGCGCTTGGCGATGGTCTTGTCCGTCGCGGGCGGCGCCGCGGGCCGCGCTTTGGCCGTGCGCTGCGTGAGCCACGCGAAGGCGACGCGCGTGTCCTGGTCGCTCTTCCCCAGGTGGCCGTCGTCGGGCGGCACGACGGGGAAGTAGTGGTGCGCGAAGACCTTCTTCTGCTCGTCGGTCAGGTTTCCGTCGCGGATGGCCTCGATGAGCGCGTGGCTCGCCGGCGCGACGACGTTGAGGCCCCAGGCGACGGAGCCGCCGCGGACGTTGCGGACGACGTGCGGGCAGCCCGGCGGGATGAAGACCGCGTCGCCCGCCTCGGCGTCGATGGTCCACCGGTCCCCGCCGAGGTCGGCCTCGACGTCCCGGTCCTCGACGTAGCCGTCCGCGAGCGTCGCGAGGTTCGCGTCGGACGGCGCCCAGACCGAGATCCGCTTCCGCCCGTGGAGGAGCATGTACAGCACGCCCGACGCGAGGTAGTCCACGTGGGGCCGCAGGTCCCCGCCGGGCCCCGGCTGGAGCACGAGGAACTGGGCGTCGTCGTCGTAGGCGTCGTAGACGTCGCGCGCGAACTTCGGCAGGCCCGCGAGGCACGGGAGCTTGTCGGGCGGCGCGCCCCGCGGCGACGAGCCGCCCGACGGCGGCTCGGGCCGCGGGCCGGCCCGGGCGGACCGGCCGCCGTGGGCCGCGTCCTCGAGCAGCGCGTGGAGCTCGGCGTCCACCGCGGGCGTCGCCGGCGTGAACGCGTGCTTCTCGTCGTCGAGGCACTCGGCCCACGTCGTCGTGCCCCGCGAGAACGACTCGAGCTCGACGTCGCCGCGGCCGCCGGCGACGACGCGCTTCACGAAGGCCAGGGGGCCCTCGGCGAAGAACTGGACCAGCGCGCTCGACGGCGCCAGCGCGCCCTTGACGCACGACGGCGCGACGGCGCGCGCGGCGCCCGTCTCGTTGAGCGCCTGGGCGGGAAAAGAGAGATTCAACGTCGCTTCAACGTGGGTGTTCCGCGCGCGCGCGTTCCGTGAAAAAGCATCCACGCTTCGAGGCCATTCCAAGAGATGATCGCTCGTCCAAAAGTCAGCCGAAACGAGTGGAAACGGCCGAGATAGGAGCCTTTGAAGTTGGGAATGTCGCGCTCTTTTCCTGCCCCGTTGAGCGCCGCGACGAGATGCAGCGCCCAGCCCGCGGCGCGCGCGCGGGGCACCTCGGCGCCCCGGTGTGCGGCGGCCGGCGCCGCCTCCTCCGCGGCCACCGGCGCCCGGTCGACGGCCATGTCGTCGTAGCGGCTCGACGCGAGCGCGGAGGGGTCCGCGACGGCGCGCTCGACGGCGGCGATGGCCGCGGAGAACGCGGCCTCGCGCGCGGCGCCGCCGGGGATGGACGCGAGGACGCCCAGGAACTCCGCCGCGAGCTCGAGCCGCGCCGTCGCGTGCGGCGCGGAGGCCGCGCGCCGCGGCGCCGCGGCCGCGCGCGGCGCGGCGGCCGCCGCGACGTCGTCGACGCACCGCGCGAGGCAGGCGCGCACGGCGTCGCGGTCCTTGCCGGCGGTGACGACGGCCGTCGGCGCCGCGGGCTCCGGCGTCGACACGCGCGACGCCGCCGCCGCGCAGGCCGCCGCGGGGGGTTTCGGCTCCGCGGGCGGCGCCGGCGGTTTCAGGGCGACCATGGTCATCGTCAGCGGGTTGTTCGGCGCCTGCGTCATGGTCATCGTCAGCGGGTTGTTCGGCGCCTGCGTCATCTTGAAGGTCGCCGGCAGCGAGGTCGCCGGCAGCGCCTGCGCCATCTGCGCCATCGTCGCGTGTCGCTAAGCCCGCGCCTCGCTAAGGGTTGAGTATGTGCGGC